TTTGAGTTCATAAGTACTGGTTTCTCGGTTTAATTACAGAATGGGTAATAAAAAAATAACCCACGAGGTACGAGTGATTACGGGAAATATGTCCCTCGTGAAATTAATGTTTAAGTCCCTCGCTAAAGCTCGGGGCAGTGAACATTAATTTCACTCGGGACATATTTCCCATAATCACTCGTACCTCGTGGGTTATTCTCTAATTATCAAATAGTGATGATACCAGGTGTTCCCACCGGACAGTAAACTGAAGTCCACCAGGAAATATCCACAGACACGATTGTGTGATAACCAAAGGCTGGGGCTGGAATTCTGCTCGACATAAAACTTAAATTTGGTAAGTCGTACCCGTTTCCTGCAGTCCTGTTGAGAGTGTTTCCCCCTCTCTGAATACTTTATGCATGGATGTACGTATGACCGACATGAGGCATTACTTCTTGTGTAATTTTGTTCAGGAAACATTTTGAAACATACTAGTATTCACTAAACGAAAATCAGATCAGCAAGGAGAGGAGGTCAGTGTATGCAGGTTGGGATGCTAATTTTTTTCCGAAGGTCCTCCTGTCCTCAAATGTCAAGTCCCTTCAAGGAAGTCAAGTTTTTTGGCGATTGTTATATCACTGCCTTCAGGTGTGATACTTACTATCATTTTTATAAACTGACCTGAAGTTTTGAAGATGCATATGTATATATTATTAGACAAGAATAAGCTGACACAAATTAGATTAGTTCACAAAAGAAACATGGATATGTACCCATTATCGATGCCCTGCCCCCTGCCCACCACTCGTACTTTATTCACTTATTCAGTGTGGTATATGCAAAAGTTGTATACCAGCGTCCGCTGTCACTCCGAAGACACGGGTTCGATTCCCCATATGGGCCCATTTCTGGTGTCCCACTCTGTGATATTCCTGGAATATTGCTAAAAGCGGCGTCAAACTAGACTGTTTGTACCTGAAGGATTAATTTCGTTAGAAGTGTACCGACGGATACTGTGCAACTTTAACCTTTGGAATGTGTAACATCCATCATTGAGAAGACATACCTGTCACTGATATCAGCTGGTACTGATTATTTCATGACAGACTGCAGGTTGCCTAGCAACGAACACATACTGTTGATCCAAGGTTTCGTTTGCCAAAAAGGGGGAAGAAGAAGATTGGTAGCCCCATAATAGCATGGTTCGGTGGGACATGTCGGTGAATATTATTATGAACGGTCACATTATAACCTGGTTAGAGGTGATCTTTCGGTGAACAATATGAATATCGCATCTGTTTGAGGCTGGGGGTTACAAGTATTGAAGTAATGTGTGTCATTTACTACTCTACTCCAAGGTAGCCATAGTATGACCATGGTAGCCATATATATTCTTCAACAAAAGAAACGCATCGATGCTTTTGAGTGTATTGGACCCATTATTAGAAATTTGTACTGTCATTCATTGTAACCTTGCTCATGGTTTATTCAATATTTAATTGAATACTATAGCCTGATACTATGTCTGTATTTTATTTTGCTGGTTTAAAGGAGACTCACAACTCTTTAGTCAAGGCAAATTCTAAACCGTAGCACCATGGCCTTCCCGATCACCAGGTCTAAACCTAACAGAACACTTATGGGATGAACTCCCATATTGAGGCCAATGGTGGCCATACAAAGTACTGACTTTGACGCCATCTTGTGGACTCAAATAAACAGAAACACAACAATAAAGGCTGCTGTTGTGCTGGCGGACTCTTTGTCAATAGACGTGTGAATTGTCACCTTTTTAACATTGAAATTACATGAAAATTCTTTTAAACTGACAGAGGCGTTTCTTTTTTTTAAAGAATGTATTAGCACAAAACTAAGGTGTGTTACAATCTCCAAAGGGATTGCGTCCACAGTTATTGCATCTAATATATGACACAAACATACAGTTGACACTACTGAACATGGGGATGAATATAATACTTAATAATGAACAATACAGAGTCAAACAGTTAAAACTGGGTCGGTTTATTGAATGACCACAAGCTGGTCAAGGGTTACACACATTCATGTTTTTTATTCAATGGAAATATATTACATCGTTTGCGGAAAGATACAGATAAATTGCAGTGTTCATAATTGTTCAGAAAGGTTCAAATGTGTGTCAAAAACTCCCTTTTTAACATCAGCTCTTTACCTTCCTTTAAACATCTTTGTTAACCATACGATCGCTCCGTTTTCTCTATAGATACATGATTAATGGTACTTGTTGTCTTGGACACAGAACGAGTCCTGTCATGGAAAAGTGGGAGCTTCTGAACGTTTAAGGGTCGGAAGGGGAAGTGTCCACGTGATTGAACATATCATCCCCATTCGTTCACTGATGGTGGGGTAGCCTAGTGGTCAAAGCGTTCGCTCGTCGAGCCGAAGACCCAGGTTCGATTCCCCACATGGCTACAAAGCGTGACGACCATTTCTGGTGTCCCCCGCAGTGATATTGCTTGAATATTGCTGGAATACTACTACAAGCACACTCACTCTCCATTAGTTCCCCCACTCTTTCCAAAGAATCAGATTTACCTGAGAAGGCTGAGGAATGGCGTCTTGGGGATTATTTCAACATTATTTCGATATCATTGTGATCATTCATGGCGGACAGAGGCGGCCCAGATCTCTACTGCGTGGCAGATGATTAGTAAAACGATATATCAAACGACATCAGTGTATACAGTAGGAACATCTGGTTATATTCATTGACAGTTACCAAACACACAAGTAAATGGTCATGATGTTATAGCCAGTAATGCACAATACTGGAAAAAGAATATTTGCAGTTCTAAGTACTGTATGTACGTACATGTATGTATGTATGCATGCATGTATGTATATGTTTGTATGTCTGCGTGCGTGCGTGTGTGTATGTGTGTGTGTGTGTATCTTGTTTTTTGGTCTTTGGATCTTGTATGGTTGCGTTGCCATGCCCACCTTGTTCAGGAGATGCTTGTGGTGCGGTAGTAATTCTACACTTCCCCTCACTCTTCCAGTAGAACACACATGTGCAGGAGGTGTTTTCAAAGCATACCAGGGCAGGGTACACTTTACTTTGCTGACGTGGCTAAAGACAGGACCTGACAGATCGGCCATGGACGTTCGGCTGTCCAATTGAAATGAGATTCTTTCATGACGCAGGAAAGGGTTTGGGGGCTGATGACACAGACACATACGCAGTGTGATCCACCAAAATATTAGTTTCGTTGTAGCTGTGGCCATATTGCAGGACACTCAACTGAACTGTGCTCAACCCAGATCGCAACAAAAGAGTCAGTGCCGGATGTGGTTCGGGTTTTAGGTGGAAACGTTTGGCATCAAGTATTATTTATGGAGACTGTGTGACTGTTTATTGGCGTTAAAATGATAGATTTCCGGAAAAACCCAATTATTCGTTAGGTTCTGTCTCAACAACAGAAACAGAACCTTAAAACTCTCTACAAGCACGACCGCCTCCGTGGTGTAGTGGTTAGAGCGTCCGCCCGGAGAGCGGAAGGTCGCGGGTTCGATCCCCGACCGCGTCATACCAAAAGACGTTAAAATATGGTACTTGTTGGTCCCTGCCTGGCGCTCGGCATTTATGGGTACAACAAGGACTGGTCGGCTCGGAGTCAGTATAATGTGTCTGAGTGGGGTATTCATGCTTCACTGCGGCATGGTATCTCAGTGGGCTAGCACTATAAAACCAGCTTCAGTCTGGACTAGTACAAGCAGCCGCACATACACATACACACGCATGCACGTCGTCATATGAGCGAAATATTCTCAAGCACGACGTAAAACCGAATTTCACCTCACCTCTACAAGCACCTTATGTTGCACTGAGAATTATTTTGAAATTGTATCGCTTCTTTCAGTAAGACAAATCACAGAATATTCGTTTATTCATCTGTGTGCTTAAAGTAAACAAAGTGTATTTAGACATTGTTTTGGAATTTGTGCAAACATTGTTGTGCCATATAGAACTGGGAAAATATGTTAGATGCCTAGAATAACTATCAAATAAATGCACACAGATGTGAATGATAATGTTGTGTTGTGTACACTTGTCTGAAAATGACCAGAATATACCAATGAGAATTCCTTACCTAAACACGTCGTTAGTCCTTAAAGCAGGCAGGACAGGGGAGGACGAGATACAGTGGGGTAACCGGCAGACAGCGGGAAGAGCGCGGACAGATCAGCAAGCCAGGGACAAGGGGGGCAGAGTACTGACCAACCAGTCCATCCCATCTACCGCCAAGGGTCAACCTGACTTCGCCGCCTTCCACTGGTGGCCTCTGTAGTGTAAATTGTTCGTCCGACGACGCATAGTTGTATTGCGAGAATAGAATAACCATTCTTTGTACGCCAAACTGTATTAGTCAGTTGACCTGATGTTGAATGTTAAATGAACATAAAATACAAAACGTTTTGTGGGTAACACAGATGCGTGAATAAACTCTGACATTTGTAAATTAGTAGTATTGGTACGGCTCCCATTTCCTAAGCTGTGAATACACAATGTCTTTCAGAAAGTGGCCAGATATAACGTATGGTATTTTTTATATTAAATTTTCTCAGTAATTTCCACAATACCATTTAGCAATAGGTCAAATGTAATCATTTGGGATTTCACGTCCACTGAACGCAATGTTTTACGAACGTTTCAGTCATTTGTCGCCCCACCCCCTGAGCACTGTCCCGTGGACTTTCCTGGTTCATGTTGATCATGCTTCTTGCGAGAGGGTAACGGGAATGGCATTCGTGACCAACTCGTGTTATTCCGGGACACGCCGAATGGAGGTTACGGAAACGGGCGAGTGGTCACGACTGCGGGAATGGTTGGCCAGCCTCGATGACGTTACGGAAACGTGCCGTCTTCAAGCTGTGTATAGCGCTGCTCATGATGTCATCTACATATAAAATTTACTTTATTATCATTTCAAATCAACTAACAATAATCTTAACTGCAAAATACAACCTTCTTATGTAAGAAAACCAAGTTCTACGGATAGTCAACTTGTTTATTGCAGTGAGTGTGACGTTTCGGTGTAGGTACTAACACCGTTATCAAGCAAGTGATACACAGAGTTGTAACAAGGAGAATATATACATAGCTGCATAGTGAGTATAAACAATGAACATGGTTGATGTACATTGACTTTCCATAGAACTTGGTTTTCCTTCATCTTTACAACTTCTAAAATTCCTCTCAAAGAACTCGGTAGTTCTTGGTCATGTATAAGGAACTGATCAAGCACCAAGTTACAAATTCTGAAGGATTCTTTAAGATCTTTGTGCTACTTGTGAATAGCAGTCACAAAGTGCACATACGAAGTGCTGGTTGCCAGGTCATGTTATCATAACATGGGCGGTGGAGTAGCCTAGTGGTTAAAGCGTTCGCTCATTACGCGGAAGTCCGGGTTAGATTCTTCACATGGGAACAGTGTGTGAAGTCCATATCTGGTGTCCCGAAATAATGCTTGAATATTGCTAAAAGCGGCGTAAAACTACACTCGCTCACTAACATAGCAGGTGACACAAAAGCCCACGCTGTTGTTAACCAGCTCTTGACTAACCGACATCTTCGCTGCTAATCCCGCATAGGGATCCCAAACCAACTTTCAAAATCTATCCTGGGAATAGTATGCAAAATAAGTAGGACACCCAAGAAGAATTAATAAACTTCATGAATGTATACCAACAAACGGTGATACCTACCTGGGTTGCCAGCGGCGACATAGGGAAATCGTATTAATCACATATAGTAGATGAGGACGACATTCCTAAATGTATCGATCCTTTGTGATGAAAGGTTCCACTTCAAGCAGATTTTTCTTGACTGTTTGGACCTTTTAAGTTGCATGGAACACACATTATTAAGCAGTAAATCGGAAAGATCCGTTAACCGTATGAGCGGGCATTCTATTATCAACCACTTGAAATGATGGCATTTCTTTCTAATGGCATTGTGTATTCAAACTTGAAAGCAATAGTTGTGTCAAGACTTGTAGATATGGATGTGTGTAATTAATTGCATAAGCTTGTTTTTAATTTGTACACGTCAGTGTGGTTGAAATTTCACGCAATTTTGAAAGTGTAAAAAAGGAAATGCCTTCAAATATACTTTGAATTTACATGGACTTATGTGTATGTGTAAGCCTGTGAATACACAATACCATTTGGAAAGTGGTCAAATGTAGCATATGTTAGATTTGGGATTGCACTTTCTCAGCATACAACGTCAGCCATCTCACCCACCCAACCACCTCTGCTTTCATGTTTTGACGATAAGGTACCTGACTCTGAGGATATAGGTTCGAATCCCTTATGGGACTCAACCCAACAAAAAGTATTAAAATCTGTACTTTACTGAGAAAGTGTATCCATCTCAGCCCGGTTGTGTTACTATATGTTTGAAATATATCCTATGTGCCATTAAATATTAACTCGGTCTCCCTACTTCTCGGAGTTACACATTCTTAAGGATTGACTTGCAGTTTGTCCATTAACAACAACAATGTCTAAACTTGGTAAAGGATTAGATGATTGTCCTCCGATACAAACGAGACTAGTAAAGAAATTCTTAAAATTCCAAACTAGTGTAACGACTATCCTCCTTGTTGCTTGAGATGTAATGTGAATGAAAGGCAAGAGTTACTTCTCCATATATACCTCTCTAAGGTAGATGACACTGGAACTTCTATCCTGTCCCAGACCATTCTATAATATTCTGTCTAGGTGTGGCAAAGTCTACACATAGCACGTCATTGCCCCTTACTGAATCTGCAGGTACAATGTATAACAGTTTATACACTGCAGCACCTAGAATAACACAGCCTCATAAATAGTACAAGGTTAACGCTGATCATGTTTGTTGTTTATGTCATAACGTTTGCCTTTGATAACATTATCATATAATTCTGGTTCTTTTATAACTCTAGGTTTATCCTAAGGTATCAATCGTTTCTAAATATATATGGTTCTGGAACAACGATATCCCATTCTCTGTCTAGGACTGTCTCATTCCCATGTCATGATGCTTTGCAATCTCCTATGGAGTTCTTTCCCAGAATTAGGCTGGTCAATGTTCTGCCTATTCTGTTTCAGGTTTTGATAGGCAACCCAGATACCATGATGTCACGATGAGATAGTTCATAGTGGTTCGCTACAATGAGTATTCCAAGAAAGGAAGGATGCGTATCATGGCTTGATTGTTCCGTGCCCATTGTTCAAGTGCTGGTTTGATGCCCATGAAGGATTCCTGCATGATGTGTCTTGAAATGGGTTCAGGTCATCTCAGCAAGACTACTAGAGTTCCTGCAGCCTGGAGGAGGAGTCCTGAATCATGACCATGATCATGAACTGCCTGAGGCCATCAAGTCTCCCAATCTGCCCTGTCTCTGATGTCGAATGCGCGTCCGTTTTGATGCCACGAATAAACCAGTTTTGGGATTTACTAATAGGGTTTAGTCCCAGAACAGCACGCACATTAGTTGCATGAAAACATGGAGAATTGCACCTGAGAGACCGCGTCATTTTTATAATCATTCCTGTTTCAAAAGAAATGCCCTTGCTCAGTGCTGGCGCTGAACGTTATTTGAAATGAGCTTATATGAGTCTGTTTCAGAAGGAAACTGAAACGACGTTTCGTTACATATATATCCACTTATTTTCCATTCAGTGAACATTATAGTGAAGAATATGGTCAAGCCATTAAGTATTTGACTCAAAACAAAGCCACAACAGCCCACAAAGGGGACTCAAACCACCGGAAGCCTGACAAGTTCTAAAAGCTAAATCAGCCCAGGTCACCCGCTCCTTCAAGGTTACCTGTATAGCCCATAATGATGCCAAAGCCAGCACCCGGATATAGTGGTATGGAGAGCCTGGTGAGTTCATTTGAGTTTTACTAAAATCATTTGAATACTGACACGAATGAATGCGAAGCGATTATAATTCAGCATGTATGCGTTTTGTTAAACCCTGATGCAAAAGTTTATATTTTAGATAGTGTTTGCGGCCATCCAACTTTCATAGACAAAATCATGTGTAAGCCTCCTGAGCTCTTTTTTTATAATGGTAGCTACGTCCCCATAATTATGTAACTCCAAGATTTGTATGCAATGTGAATCATTGTAAGTAGTAGTTCGAATAATGAGTAAATTAATTTAACACTGCTATAATACTCCAGTTATATTAAGTTCACACTACAGCAATATGTTTGTTTGCTGTCGTGACTACGCCTAGAGCTGAGGTCACATCCGGCTGCTGCTGCTGCTGCCCACGAAGACTAAGCACCCCCGTGCCGCTACACAGGCCTGAGTTAATGCTCATGTTTGTTGTCTTTTCTGTATAGCTTAAAAGTAGTATATTTTGTTTATTTGTTGTGAAAACGTCACACAACATAACTTTTATGGAGGCGGCTCCATAAATAAATGAGTTTGGACCAGACAATCCAGTGATCAGCATCGATCTACAATTGAAAAGGATGACAAGTTTCGCCCAAGTCATCGAGTCTGGACCACTGATCCCGTTAGTTGCCCTGACGACAAGCATGGACCCTGAAGACCTAATTCTAACTCGGAACTTCACGGTCTACATAATTGTGAGTATCTATTATGTCCTCACCACCTAGCTAAACATAGCAGGCTTAGTACATGGTCAATCACTTCGGTCAACTGTTAGAAATGAAGACACAAATTAAGACTGTCCATTGTAATGCTAATCAATAATGTTGTATTTGCAGATTGAACCATTTATGTGAGCATTAGTTTCTTTAAAAAGTCGTGTTTAATACAGTTGTAAGGAATCTCAATTTCTGTGGTTTTAATGTGATTGTTATAAAAGTTCTTAGGTCACATCAATCTCTGATCTTGAGCAAACTGTATGTAACCGATGAAGTGGAATACGGCCACATATACCGAATTTTATAATTTTACAATTCATGTTATTTCACATCGGTAATTAAATCGTGGTCCATTGAAATTCAGGACGAGCGCAAATTACGTGTTAGTTATGATGTGTTGCAGGATGATCTTGCTATATACCACATTGTGGCACAAAGGGCAGAGGCCCTATCACATCCAACAAGATATGAAGATCGTCTAAACAAGGCCCTTCAGTAATGGTGGACCCTTTACAGATAGCGGATAGCTGGTAACACACAGCTTTTTAGGACATTGACCATCCTGAAGGACCATTACCAATGTCATCATCTTTGCACAGTGTGTGTTCATTGAGGTGATCATGGTATCCCCAACCAAAACCACCACAGCCAGGTACCAAGATATCTCCCATAATTGTTGTGCAGTTTTAAATCATGTACCCAACAGCCGATAAAGCCAAACATAAAATAGTAAAATGAAATAAAATAATTTTAAAAGTTGTCCCCAATGGTAGTTGGTAGCTTCACAGATGGGCAGTACCGTTTGTGTTTCAATGAAACTGGACAAATCACCACCCCATCACGAGACCATCATCATCATGACACATGTGACACACAAACGTATATCGGTATAGCCGACAAAGGATGGTGAAGCTGCTGCCCGCGCTACCGTCTTTGGCTTCACGCATCCTTGTCAAATCTTTGGTATCTGTTCCAACCGACGACCGAAGCAAATGTCATCTTAACAGTCATAATATATAACAACAACCAGCAGAAACATAAATAGTTAATACACCATACTCTGTTGTGCCTTGGGCCTATCAACACATTTTGTACACATCCAACACCAAACACTAACTCATACGCACGTTGCTTCTGTCCAATCCCGTGACACCCCTACACCTCAAAAGGAAGCAACACCACATCCAATGTATAGGAGATGGGGGCACTCAAGTAGGCATCAATAAATCACATCTGAAGTAAATCCAGCCATAGAACAACACCCACTTTGGCTGTCATTCCAGCTCTTTGGAGGAGGCCACATCCCATCCCATCACATTCCAGGCATACTCATGACCACTTGAAAGGTGAGGATCCTCCATTTACAAAGCATCGTAATCACACCGCATTGATCACGGGCATTATAACAAGTATTGGTCACAGGCATCCTTAACACGTATTGGTAAGGGTTATCCTAAGAAGAACTGATCGGTAATTGGTAACGGACATCCAACATTCTCAGGAACGGACATCTTAACAAGTGGCTGGTAATTGGTAACAAGCATCTTAACAAGCATTGGTAACAGGCATCCCAACAAGGCATTGAACGGATCCGAATCATGACCAGACATCCCAATCATCATGATCTTTAACAAGCATTATCACAGGTGATCTTAACAGACATCAATGATCCATGCATTATCACATGAATCCGACCCGAATGGACCCGAATCAACGGACCCACACACAGGACCCAACAGAACGAACAAGACACAGGACACAGAAGAATCCGAACACACACATCTAACGGCACATCACAGGTGACCCAGACCACAGGACCCAAGACATCCCAATCACAGGACCGAGACCAACGACCCAACGGCATGCAACAGGTGACCCAACAAAAATACAGGACGGAAGACGGAATAAAAACACAGGACAGGCATCTTAACACGTATGGTCAAGGTATCTTAACAGAAGGAATGGAATGGAATAAAGAAGCAGACAGTGGAATGGCATACGTGGTGGTATCTTAATGGGGCATTGGTAACGGGTATCTTAACAGAATTGGTAATGGAATCGCATAGAATGAAGAACATCTAATGCATGGAATCGACCCGGACAAGCACAGGACCAGACACGAACATTGACACACACAGACAGCCCACAACACAGGAGACCGGAATGCATGAATCGGCATCTTAACAAAGTGGCAGACATCCGAACAGACCAGACCCAAGAAACAGCCCATCCCCCTGTGTTTTGGTAATGGTCTTGAACCGTTATAACGCAAGCCACCGTGGATAGTGGAGACCCCAACCGAGCATGAGCACACACAAAAGATGTGTGGAATATGGAGTGGACACAAGGAACAAGCAGTAACTGAAACTGCCAGCATGGCCAACACGGGCTGAACGGAACACAAACAGCCCAGAATCAACACAAATGGCCCAGACAGGAAACACAAAACACCTTGATTTCCATTTGAACTGGCAAATAATCATATTTGCTCAATTGTCTTTTCAAATACATCGTATCCTCCGTGAATACACAATACCATTTGGGAAGTGGTCAAATGTAGCATATGTTAGATTTTGGATTGCACTTTCTCAGCATACAACGTCTGCCATCTCACCCACCCAAACACCTCCCTTATGGGACTCAACCCAACAAACAGTATTAGAATCTGTACTTTACTGAGAAAGTGTATCCATCTAAGCCCGGTTGTTTTACTATATGTTTGAAATATATCCTATGTGCCATTAAATATTAACTCGGTCTCCCTACTACTCGGAGTTACACATTCTTAAGAATTGATTTGCAGTTTGTCCATTAACAACAACAATGTCTAAACTTGGTAAAGGATTAGATGATTGAGACAGACAGACAGACAGACAGGTTTTATTCAGTAATGTAGGCACCGTGGCCCATAGTACAGTTGAATTTTCATTTTAACAAATATTGGTCACGTGACACGAAATTATGGTTTTACATGTGATTTTAGGATGGACATCAAATATTTTATGAAAATGGCAGCTGATTTAATAGTGACATCGTTATTAGAATTAAGTATTTTATATATCGTTTGTGGGGCATCATTAAAGCATTTTAGATACTTCTTCGGCCAGCAGAGAATGCCTCACAGTCTAATAATAAGTGACGTTCGTCTCAGTTTTACCAGAAGAACAATGAGAACATGATAAATCTTCCAATGTATTTTTATCTTTTCTATAACGCTGTATTTTTAAGGCATGTAGAGAGATTCTAAATTTTACAAAAATTTCTTAAAAGGGACTTATCATTAAGGACCCTAATATATTTTTCAGGTCCGAACATCGATTTACATTGTGAATAATGACTTAGAAAACTCGATGAATTTACTGATGCGTGCCAATTCTGAATATATATATCTTTTATTCGTTGCTTAAAAGTTAACAAAACATTTTTATATCACCAACATCTTGCTTAAACCAAACATAAGAAAACCCGCTTGAAAATAACACATTTCGGACACCAGAAGCCCAAGAATACTTTCCACGTTTGTCTAGGGATAATAATAATTGATAGCTTTGATAGGGGTAGCGATAATCAGGCATTCTTATAAGTTTAATCCAGTATCTGATAGCTCTCATTTGACTCTCAATATGCATGCTATAGCGGCCTGTATCGCCAAGTACGGCTTTGTTGGAAGCAAATTTACCTACAGTAAGAAATCTTTTAAAATATGATGCATGCACATTTTCTATAGCTTCGAAATAGTTTACTCCCCAAATTTCAGATCCATATAACAATATTGGTGCTATTTTAGTGTCAAAAGTAAGCAAGCTGAGTCAAATGAAATAAACTTATTAGCCTTAAACAGTTTAAAAATAGGAAATAATGCCTTCTTAGCTTGTGCTGCAAGGGTTTTAGATGCCATGGACCAATTTAATCGGCTGGAAAATAGAAGACCCAAATATTTATAATATGAAACAACATTAATACTTTTGCCACGGAATAACCATTTTTCAGAATGTGCCACTATACCCCCATTTCTAAAGACAACTATGTTAGATTTTTCCATATTCAACTCTAGTCCCCATGTGTCACAAAATGTTTGAAGAATATTTATCTGTCTCTGCAGTCCGTTTACCATGAATGAAAACGTAACAATATCATCTGCAAAGAGAAGCAAAAGTAAATCTTTGATTTGGGGAGTAACAAATATTCCATTATTACACGATTTATACATATCATCTACAAGTTCATTAATAAAGAAGATGAAGAGTACGGGGCTTATTACACAGCCTTGTCGCACACCAACGGAAGTGTTAAACGATTCAGTGTTGCCAGAATTAGTTCTAACACAGGCTGCAACAGAGTCATACATGCTTCTTAAAATATTATACATTTTGCCATGGCATCCTTTGGTATGTAACATAAATAGCAATTTCTTACGGTCAACAAAATCAAAGGCTTTCTTAAAGTCGATGAAAGCGCAATAGAATCTCCCTTTGGTCTGCAGAGGTACTTTGTACATAATGACTGTAATATAAATAAATTATCAGTTGTACTATAATCGGATCTAAAACCAGCTTGAGCCTCGTCAAGTAGCTCGTTTAGATCAACCCAGGCGCGTAAACGCTTTTCTAATATATTAGCAAATAATTTTCCAGAAATGTTTAGAAGAGATATTCCACGATAGTTGCATGGTTCTGATACACTCCCAGACTTGAATAAAGGGACAATCATACCTATATTCCATACCGATGGGAATTTACCACTATCAAGAACTACATTAAATAAATCTTTCAAATATGACACTAAAGAAGTAAAAGTAGATTTGTAAAATGAGGGAGGGATACCGTCATGCCCCGCTGCCTTATTCCATTTCAATTCATTTATAGATTTTATTACCTCATCTTCGGTAATTGAGTTGACAAAACATCATGCGAGAATGAAAGCTCTTCACACTCATCACAGTTATGCGTTGAGACAAAATCATACACTGATTTATCAAAATCTGAAAGCAGTTTCTGTATCTCTACAGGAAAGGAGACCTTTGAAGTAATGATACCATTGGTACGGAGAAATATTATCTGTGAGAACCGTTTTCTGAAGATGGCGTTTTAACGTGCTCCAAAATATCTTACAGTCAGGATTTCTTGCTGCTATTTTAATATCATCTGCAGCTTTGGCTAAATAATTATCTTTTTAATTGGCAACATTTTTAAAATTGTGTTTTGCATTCAAATAAGAATCGAGGTTAGAATCGCACTTATGCTTTCTGGAAATAGTTTAAAAGTCTGTATTTTTCGGACTTAAGTTTGCCGCATTCTTGATCAAACCAAGGAGGTTGGCGCGATTGACGGTGATAGGGTGAAATGAGTCTGATGGCTCCAGCTCTAACGCCTGATAATTGAAGTAGGGGATGTAATTTCAGAAATGGCAGAGTTAACATCAGTATACAGTAGGTCTCTGAAATCATTCAGGATACCATTCTTTATGCCATCTACCAAGTACATATGAAACTCTCTCTCTGGTCCTCCCGTAGTTTATACCCTACGGACTTGAACATGGGTATTACTGTATCGTTACTTAAGCAAGGCGCGGAGGCGATTATGTCATGGATTACACAAACAATCGGGAGGTGATCCGACTCTGTGCGAGGTTTAACCTCAAAACTATCGATATTGTTGAACATCTCAGATGAAATAAGCGCATAATCAACAGTACTACAACCGGTCTTTGAAATGTAACTTAAACTTCCGGGGATATCAGGCAAACTTCTACCGTTCACAATGTGTATACTCATCGATTTACACAGCTCGAGTAAACACTTTCCATACATATTTGTGACAGTGTCATATGAATTGCGGGTTTATCAAAGTTATCCTGTGCGTAATCGTCACCAACGGGTATATAGTCGGAACCGTCATTTACTATAAAATCTGGCTCACTCGCTGTTCTGGCATTAAAATCACCAAACAAAATAAACTTACTGGCTTCCCATAATCAAACAGTACTTGTAAAAGTTTATTTTCTAATATGTCTATGCCGTTGTCTTCTGACGCTGTATACTCAGGCGATCTTTCTGGGTGGATGTATACAAATCCAATAAATATGTGGAAGCGTGCAGAGTCATCTGTTAATTTGAAAAATAAACAGTTCTCCCAGTCCATATACACTCTCTGAAAAAGAAGAAATATTCTTCCGAATAGAAACTGATATACCACCTGAATATCTGCCAACATTATGTCGCCTGGCGGCATTGCATACAAAATTATCAAAATTACTGAATGTAGCGTCCAGGACGTGCTGTGCATCAGGACTCATTGTCTCAATACAACTGAATACATCATGAGATTCACAAAATGATATAAAGTCAGGATCTGATATTTTGGTGTTTATACCACAGATATTCCAAGTACAAAAACTTAGATAATGTGAAATACTTATCTCATGATCTTTAATATAAAGAGAAGATTCATCAACGGGGCCACCGCCATTTCCTATCTGGACCCTTTGAGCAGACGACACATCGTGAGGGGAGTCAGCCTGGTGATGAGCAGACGACGTGTGTGTGGGGAAGCAGCGGGCGGGGAATCAAAACGGTGATGAGCAGGTTGACTTCTGCTCGACCAATTACGGCGTCGGCCGATCTGACGGATATCTTTGTTATACTCATCGAAAACAAAAACATCACCGTCAATGACAAGCTTGTCATAGCTTAAAAAAGCTACCTTGCTCCCGTCCCTTGCCTGTTTCATAAAGGGAAATAACTGTTGTCTAATCCACCGAATGTTTTCGGTAAAATCCTCTGAAACTTTATTAATGCCATCCCCCTTCAACTGACGTCTCCCCCGTTCCATAACAGATTCCTTATCTTTATAAAATGTGAAACGGACAATGACTGGTCTGGTACCGGACTTGCTATGCAAGCGATGGGCGCGGTCAATGGGAACAGATGGTGCATTAAGCATGTTCAGTTTATTTGAGAGAAAGTCTCTAACTTTACTTTCAACTGTGTCCCATGTTTCACCCTGTTCTTCTGCAATGCCATGTATAATGACGTTATTACGTCTGGACTGGGCCTCTTACTTGTCTGTCTTCTTCTCCAAGAACGACACCCGGTCTCGCAGGGAGTCGTTTTCCGACTGAAGCGCACGTATCTGATCGTTGAAATCACGTGCGAAGCGATCAAACTTATCGTTGAGAGAGGTAAGATCAGCCTGGATCGACTTTAGTGCTACAGCGAGGTCCGACCCATCTGACAATGGCGGCGATGACACGATCCCGGTGACATTGGTAGTGGATAATCTGTTCTGCATCCTATCCACGGGATTGTTTGTCCTGCTCTGGGACTGGCGAGGTCCTGGGTTGGACTCAACGTCCCCCGAGACAGTTAAGAGGGTGAACAACAACACAGCGAGTCTGAGTGTCAAACGGGTACCCTGGGGTAGCCTTATAACGGGGCAAAAAAACACACGTCTCACCCTGGTCGGAATAAAACATCCTATAGCTCTCCTCCAGGTTTCGGTACACACACCCATGTCGGCTTCACTGTATCTTCACACTTTCGTGCAACACCCTGTACCTTTAAATTGCTGTTGTGAATTGATATTTGGCCATTAATTGCAAATTTATGTGCCGTTCAGTACACACGTCCACCTGGACAGGTAAGTCACGTGACCATCGGAAAGTTAAAGGTAGATGACACTGGAACTTCTATCCTGTCCCAGACCATTCTATAATATTCTGTCTAGGTGTGGCAAAGTCTACACATAGCACGTCATTGCCCCTTACTGAATCTGCAGGTACAATGTATAACAGTTTATACACTGCAGCACCTAGAATAACACAGCCTCATAAAAAGTACAAGGTTAACACTGATCATGTTTGTTGTTTATGTCATAACGTTTGCCTTTGATAACATTATCATCTAACTCCAGGTTTATCCTAAGGTATCAATCGTTTCTAAATATATATGTGGTGGACTTCAGGATTGTCTTCATTGATTTACTTACACTGTACTGTTTCAACAATCTTACACTTGTTTTGAGAAGACAGTTAATATTTTGACATACAGATCTTTGGACATTAATTTTGTTATAGTTGTAATGTATAGAGTTCTTAGCTAATGCTATGCATTTTTTTTTTTGTTTTTTTTGTTTTTGGAGTGAACAGTTTTATTGTCATAGGCCACAGGCCGTATACAACATATATACAATTTTCACATACATTTACACATGTATACAATAACAAAGGTTGAGTTTACAACAAATATATATGATGTCATAGTACATGGGGAAATCCTACAAAAATATATCTTACTGAATTGGGAGGTATTTTGATGCATGGTATAAATATGTGCATAATTTTCTAGAAGTGTTTCGTTATTAGTAGTTTTTTGTTTTTGTTTTTTTCCATCATAAGTTGTATATAATGTCATATCTGATATATCATAAGTATATAGTATTACATCCCATATGTCAAATTGTAAATAGCATCATATATGAACATATCAAGCTGTATATTGTGTCACATTCAACATATTTTGTTGTATACGGCGCCATATCTGACATACCACGTTGTATATAGCGCCACATCTGACATATCATACTGTATATAGTGCAACACCCGACATAGCATATTGTAGTGTCACGGCCAATCTAACGTGTTGTACATCTATCGTGTTGTACATAATGTATTGTCTGATATACATTGTAAATATGTCTTATCTAACATCTGTTGTATATAGTGCCACAATTATTCTGACATGTGATGCTGTGTCTTGTGTCACATCTAATGTGTTGTGTTATATATTGCGCAACATCCGGCTTATTGTGTTGTATATTGAGTCTTATATCCAACCTATAATATGTATTCCCCAAAGTTACACCAGTGCCATTAACTAACTAGTCAATATATAACTAAAACAATGATAATTTTTCAAAAGGGGAAACAGATCAAGATTTTACAAAAGAAGCGGTTGCTGCATACACAGGTCAGGTTTGAAATACTGGGAATAATGGATGCCATTTATTAGCAAATTTCTTCATTTTATTCTTCCTTTTGGCAATAAAGCTTTCAACAGAAAAAATATCTTTTAAAGTCTTTATAAAGTTATCGCATTTGTGGAATATTGTTTTTCAAAGAAGAGACATAGATCTGCCTTTTTGCTGACATGATTATATGATTAAGTAATGGGTTTTTACCTAAGGAGCCAAAATACACCAAATATTTTGTCAAATTGACTTTTTGTATCAAATAAGTGTTAATCCAAATTTGAAGATCCTTCCAAAACTTCTTAGTTTCACTACATTCCCAGTAAACATGGCACAAGTTTTCATCTTCATCTTTACAAAAGCTGCATTAGGCACTCTGGATAAGGTTCATTTTTAAAAGTTCCTTTTTGGTATAGATAATACCGTGTAAAAATTTATATTGGAACTCTAAGAGTTTTACATCATTAATGCCTTGTCTGTAAGACTTGAAAATCATTGGCCAATCAAAGTCAGTATCATCAAACACATTCTCCCATTTATGACACATATGAGGGTTATTATTGTCAAATAACAATATATCATAAAATAATCTTGATCCTTGTAATGATTTCATAAAATTCTTTTGATAGGAGTTAAGATTCATGTCATAGTTATTTATACACCTGTGATTTGTTATTGTATTTTTCCATGATTCAGGTATATTATTTAGAACATATCTATGATCTAATTCAGTCCCTTTTATTGCATATTTACTTTTTAAAGATTCAAAAGACATCACACCTTCTTCATCACACATGTCTTTGATGGTTAATAGTCCTTTATTTGCCCAATGACTGATATAATGATTTTGGTATTTAAAATTATGATTAAACCATAATGGCTGTGCTAAAATTTCATCAATGTTGTTTTCCTCTATGGTAATGTTAGTACAATACATGTTCCATGCTTTTAAAACATCTTTCCAATATGGATTATGAATATCAGCAAAATGATAGAAGTTAGCACCAAATTTCATGATATCATGTAATGGAAAATTGCATGGATTACATATTGATGATTTTCTTAAATAAAGTCTCAAAGTGGATAGTTTCAAGGCATTGATAAAGGTTTTTATGTCGATCATTCTTAAACCCCCATGTATATAATCTTTTTTCAAGGTACTTCTCTTAATTTTGTCAGTTTTGTCAGTCCAGATGAATTTGAAAAATATTTTATCAAGGGAGGTAACAAAATCTTGGGGTGGGTTTGGTAAAGTACTGAAAATATGAACTAATTTTGACATAGCTAGTGTCTTGATAACAGTGATTTTGCCGATTAATGTTAAATGTCTTTTTCTCCACACTGCCAATAATCTGTTAATTTCCTCTAGTTTTTTCTTTGTATTGATGA